CAACACCAGCCTGGTCTACAAGAGCTAGTACCAGGAAAGCCTCCAAAGCCACAGGGAAACCCTGTCTTGGAAAAAAAGAAAAAAAAAGAATGCAAACAGTTCCTGTGGACATACTGTATAAGAAGATAGGTTAGAATAATTTGATGGTGGGAAACATTTTCTCTTCCTAAATGATGGGACACAACTTGCACAAACAGGATCAAATCAACACGCAGAATAATTAAGCTAAAAACTATAACGTATTTCAAGATAACGAATTTCTGAAAACTCTTATTCTTTCTTTAAATAATAATACCTAAATTGCAAAACTAGAATAATTAGGACTATATATCCATATGTATATAGTTATATATGTATAATACATTATGGCAAAATATGAACACTTCCATTTCTGTCTCCGTGTGCATTTGGGATTTCATGCCAAAATCCCCTCATTACTTAATCAGTCCTGTAACTTGTAATTGACAGTCATTGGCTCACTGTAGAGCACTATCCTGCTATCAGTGGCAGGCTGTTCATGTTACCTCACCTCTCTCTGTCTCCACTCACTTTCTGCATTCTGAACCAACTGTTTCCACAGTTCCACACTCTACTTCCATGAAATCAGCCCTGGTAGTTTCCACACAATGGTGAGAACTTGCAGTGTTTTTCTTTATGGCAGTAGTTCTCAACCTGTGTGTCTTAGGAACTAAGACACTTCTCAGTAGCAAAATTGCCATTATGAAGTGGCAGAAAAAAATAACTTTATCATTGGAGATTCCTAAGACCATCAGAAATACGTGTTTTCTGATGGCAGTGACCCACAGACTGAGAACCAGTATTTTAGGGCCTAGATTATATAGCTTAGTATGATAGCATCTAATTTTATCCTTATTGTAAAATCAAGATTTCCTTCTTTATAATGACTGATAATAATCAACTACTTTTCATACCACAACTCCTTTATCCATCATCCAACATTGGGTACATCAGTCAATTCCACTTCTTAACTATCATGACCAGTGTCACTCAAACCACTATGAAACTATCATTTTGATATGTTGTGTACTATTTCATTAAACAGATTCCTAATAGTAAGAGAGCTGAAACCCAGGGTAATTATTGGGGAAATCCATGTTCTTTCTGTAGTTGTGCTGAATTCCACTCCAGCATCCACTTATGGTAGTAATACCTCCACATTCTGCAGTCACTGATCAGCCTGTCAATCTGACATCAATTCCCAGAAACTACAGTGTAAAACCAGACCACTAACTCCCACAAGTTTTCCTCTGACCTCCATACACAGACACAATTAGAACAGGTTAAAAAATAAAAATGTTGACAAATACCAGTTCCTCACCATCCTTGTCATTACTGTGCTTCTGTCTCTGTGGGTAGAACTAGGGGTTGAATTCAGGTCCTGGAGCATTCTACACAACCTATCAATGACCTACATCCCAGCCCGTAGGTCATATTGTGCAAAGTATTTGCCTTTCTCACAAGTTGCCATTTTTAATTACTAATAATGCTTATATTGGGTTTTCAAAGAACTTTGACACAATTTCTTTTCAAGGGCATCAATGTGTCATTGTCAAACTGTAAGAACCACCTCACCACAGTGCTAGAAAGGGCTTAGGAACGTTGGTTCTGCTGCAAAGATTTCCTTCCCCAAATGTTTCCCATTTCAGTTTTGGAAAGAATTTCACAGAAGTTGCCAGCTTACATGTCCCAGTGAAAACCACACTGTACCTAGAGCTCCTCTATGGAGTTTGTTGACTCTCAGTGATGCTTCCCCAGAACCTTTCTTTGGCTTCAATCACTTCAGTAAATTAACTGTTTTTTGCTGTTGATGTCTTTAGCTATAAGGAGAATGCCATGCGGCTATCAAGAATTCACCATGATCAGCCAGTGAAGCCCCTGGACAGAGCTGTCTTCTGGGTTGAGTATGTCATGCGCAATAAAGGAGCCAAGCACCTTCGTGTGGCAGCACATGACCTCACCTGGTTCCAGTACCACTCTCTGGATGTGCTTGGATTCCTGCTTGCCTGTGTGGTGACTGTGATCTTCATCATCACAAAGTGCTGTCTCTTTTGTTGTCAGAAGTTTGCTAAAGGTGGAAAGAAGAAGAAAAGGGAGTAACTGAAGTGGGGAGGACAGACACATGGACCTCCTCCGGTGCATCACCGCAAGGGAGGCTTTCTGTGTGTTCCTTCATCACAACTGACCTGGACATTATCACTCTATTTCAGCCTTTTGAAGTACACTTGAGCTGTCAAAGGTTCCTTTTCTTCGCCCTTTTAAAGTACATATGAAAGGCAACACCACAAATTATTCCCATCCAAAAATCACTTATCTCATATTATATCCCAATTCTGAAAT